CAGAAGCCAATCTCCCAGTGCCTAGAAAAATGTGTTTTACATAAAATAAGGGCTACAAGTTTTGAATAATTAAATGAAAAAAGGTGTCTCAAAAACAGGAAGCTTGACATTTATTATTATATAAATGCACCTGGCATTTCAATAAGGTAAGGTCATAATGTTATTCAATTATCCTCTAACACATTCAGAGGAAATTAGACTTTGAACAAAAAGTCTAGCATTATCTTAATAAACAATTTCATTTTTCTTATTTGGTAGTCAAATCATACTTTTGAAATTATGCCATAAATAAATTTGATAGCTGCCTAATAGCAAAAATAAGTACAGATTGTCATATGACAAAAGAAGGCTGTCCATTTACTATGAGTTACATTAAATCACCCAAACACATGAAAATGTTAAATATGATTTTGAAGACATAAACCAAATATTTAAGTTTCCTTTAAATGCTAAGCTTTCCGGCAACTAGGAAGCTGTGCAACTATGACATACAACTATCTACTGGGGCTTTGGGGCGAAAATAAATAAATAAATCTTTAAAAAAAAAAAAAAAAAAATGCTAAGCTTTGGGTTTTTTCCCATGCATTAGAATTTGTAGGAGTTTTAAAAAATATAATATAAACATGATTTTAAAAAGAATCAAGACAATGCATCTAGAAAGCCACTTTAAATAAAAATACTCTTTAGCCATGCAGTATAATCCATAGTAGCAAACACCCTGGGAGACAACAGGCCTAGTGATAAAGAACATAGGCTTGGGGATCAGACCTTGTTTCTAATACTCTTTCATCCCTTAGATTTATGTGGCCTTGAGTATGTTAAAATTAAGCTCTCTGAACCCCAGTTTCCATGATGAAGTTTAATATGCTTCCTCAAAAAGAGTAGCAAAAGTTTTTTCCATAATAATACTGTAAAGCACCTAAACGGAATCTTTAGAAAAGCAAAATAAAGGTGAAATTTAGGATCTTGAGTTCCCTAAAAATGATTAATAGCGGCCCCCATTTCGTTTATGGCTTCATCTCCATCTCAGCTGTTGACAGCTACTTAATCAATGGTTCTCAGATCTGATTGTATATTAGAATCACCTAGCAGCATTTTAAAACTCTCCACGCCCTTGGCCCAGGCGAGGCCAATTAAAATCAGAATATGTAGGGGTGCAAGAGGGTGGGTATAGTTTAAAGATGCCCAGGTAATTTTCATGTTGAAACTTCGGCATTCAAGGGAAACTTCAGCATTAAAGGGAAACTAAGGCATTCAACTTCTAAGTACTCAATAAATGTTAGGGAACAAGAACTCAGTTTATACAACCAGCAAAACTTTAGAACCAATAATGCATCCAAATAAAAGCTTCAGAAAGCAGCTGCTAAATCATTTCTTAATTTTTACCACAGCTTCAATTAACTCCATAGCTCCAAAGCCGCAAAAATTTCAGGAAGTAGGCTTTTTTCACCTGTCTGTTCTTGAAAAATTGTTTCAAGATCAAAACATTAAGGTCCCTCAAAGCAAGGTCAACTACACTCTTGACATTTAAATTTCAAAGAGTTCAAACAAAAAAAAAAAAGCTTATCTGTCTGGGCAAGTAAAAAACTCAAGCACTAGTAGTTCTAAAGATAAGGTACCAACGCTGCCTCTTTGAAATTTAAGTGTATCATATTGTGGTCAAGAAAAGATTAAAAGCAATTAATGCAAGGAACTAGGCGACTACAGTCCTGGGTTTTCCATCAGGTTTTGCCACAATTTGATCTGGGACTTCAGCAAAGTCACTCAGTGTCTCTAGGCTTCAGATTCTCATTTGCAAAATATGGAGTTGCACTAAATTTCTTTGAAATGTCATTACAACAATGTAAAACCTGGAAAATTACCGAAGGATTCCTTAGAGCAGTAATATCCAAGGATAAGGACTAAACTAGGCCTCAGAGGCTATTAGAGTAATGAGTCATGGTTTAATTACTTTTATAGTAAGAAATTTACTTTCCAAACCTAACAATTGATTATAACATATTGATTGAGATTGCTCCCTGCGCCTCCCAAATACTCATATCTAGGATAATTTTTTTTCCACAGTTAAAATCTTTTTAGTGTTCTGGGTCTTTGAGCAAAAGAACAAAAGGAATACTGAATATTCAACAAATATCATACCATAGGCACTTGGGATATACCAAGGGACAAGATAGACAAGTCAAAGAAGACAAAGTAGAGAAGTAATTTTCTATGTTTATACTTTTCAAATATTGATAACTTCTCTGAATAGAATAATGCAAGGTAAAATGACACGGTGGGGGGTGTTATTTTAGGTAAGATGTAGAAGCACGTCTCCAGATGTCCCTCCTTCAATTTGGAGAGAGGAGGGCAAAATTTCCTTAAAGCTATTTTCTTCATCTTGGAGAAATTAGATAAAGCAATTTTGTACATTCTTTTGAAGAATTTATCAGTTTAACCTTCAAATTCTCAACAGTAAAATCCGAAGTATCTCACTATAGTCGTGCTTATCACTAGAAAGATCTTTCCATTTCCTTCATCCGAAAGCCACCTGATCTCACCTATTTTACTCAAAACTGTTATTTGATTTTTGAACACCCCTGTGTATTTCGTGTTTGTGCATATGCTAGGTTCTTTTTTTTTTTTTTTCAAATAGTACCTTAACCTAATCCATTTTCAAATCCACCAATTTAACACTATCCTATTTTGGGGTACCTGAATACATTTTAGTAGTATTTCTGAAAGTTTTCTCATCTTCCGTTTACATAACTCTGCAGCGCCATTTACAGGCCCACACATTGATGATTTATGTCTTTCTACCAATGTATTTCTTTACTCTTACATCCTAATGTGAGAATATATGGAAGAATATATGATAATGTCTAAACAACGAAAAAACTGGGCAAGAATGGGGTCGGAAGTCAACAGTAATAAGGCTATTTGCAGAGGGGAGAAGTTAACTAATTGGAACAAAATGAAAGAATTCATACACTACATGTTTCCTCTATGTAAGCATTATATGAAATATCTTTTATATTAGTCATGTTTCTTTGAGACTTTTCCATGTTTCCCCTAGACAACTGCCAATGTTCACATGGTCTCTGATGAATAAACATGCTGTGACTTGCTCCTAAGGAAATGCCTGTCATGTTCCAGGGAAAAATTACTTCTCTACTCTTAAACCAGGAAAACTGTACAACTACTCTCATTCATTAGTTACAGAGTCGATTTTTCCTTAACGTTTCTTTTCTGGAATGTTAGTATTCTCTTTAGGGCTTTTCTGCATTCAGATTATCAGAAAAGAAAGAGAGTTGGGGCAACACTTGTAGGAAAAAGTTATACAACATCAAAGGGGTTTCCCACTTCAGAAGCTCAGCTAGCACCCAGGTTAAGTCTTCAATGTTAACCAAGACGGAGGTTATTTTCAGGTTCTCTCCATCTCTTGCAGAACTACCTGTTCTCATGACTGTTTACCCAAACGCTTAGCAAGGTGATTATTAGCATATCTGGCAGGAAGACATACTTCAGTTAATATTAACTCACCATGTGACAGCCCCTTCCCCTTCAGGCTCTCCTCAAACACGTGAGGATACGAAGAAAAGTCTCGTTGTCTGCAGTCTGACTTTGCGCTAGGCTTTGGCACCAGCAATTGGCCACGGCACACACACCCCCAATCAGAGCGCGCAGCCCGCCGGGTCCCGGAACTGTCAAGCGGGCTGACAGCTGGCACACCCTCCTGTCGCCCTCCACCCGCCCGCAAAAAGCCCCTTCCTTACAGTCACCTTGACATTGCTCACCTGCCTGGGCCTCAGCCCATGGCCAAGGAAACTTTTTCCTCCCTTTCCAGGAGCTCACTTACAGGTATCGCCCGCCGCTCTTCCAGAGCCCCAACAAGGGGCCCTTTGTTACCGTTTCTGCTCCCAGATTCCTCACCCAATTCCTGGCATTCAGCTGCCCTTCAGCAACCCAGGGCAGCCCCAGTAGGAAGGCAATCAAACACTGCCAGAGCCCCCACCCCGGGCGGCCTCAGAGGAGGCCGGGAAGCAGCAGCCTCTTCGGCCGCGTGTCGGGCGGCCAGGGCGTCAGGCCGCTGGCAGGGCAGCGAGTCGCCAGCCAGGTAACCGGGTGGAGGCCTCGCTGCCCTCGCCCTCCCCGGGGCGCGG